TCTCCTTCTTGTTCAGTTCCCCGTTTGTCTCCTTGATAAGAGACAAATTCCTTTTCCTCTTCCTCCAAATTCAAACCAAGGAACAACACAAATCAAAGTGAAAGCAAACAACAATTTTAAAAATAACACAACTAGAATTTTATGGCTGAAAATAGCAATATTTTCTTCTAGAATCCCCATCACTAGCACTTCTGAGCCTTCAAAAAAGATTTCTTGGCATTTTCCTTCTTTACAGATTTCTTTTTATGCTCCTACAGATCTGGCTCTGTATCTCTCTCTCTGTCTCTCTCTCTCTCTCTGTCACTCTCTCTCTTAAGCTAGCAGTACTGTTGTATCGCAAATCAGTGAGCTGGACAAGAGGCCTTAATCAGCCAATGAGTTTGTACTTGGCATAAGAATATGGGAATTATCTATTACATTGGATGGCTAGCTTGCAAGGTCAGACAGTTAAGTTTATCTTTTTCTATTATTTGAACTAAAAACAGTCATTTTTTAGTCTGTCTTAAAGTGGCAGAGTTTATAATGACAGAGTTTGCAGGACTAGGGACTATCTAACAATAGCAGAGAGTTTCAAAGAGTAGTTTCATAAAGGATGGCGGTTTCAATACTACTGATATAAATAGATATTAATTAACTTATTTACTTCCATTCTTTTGAAAACAGACTTAGAGTGTTGAGTGAAATGCGATATCATTCAGATATCCAGTTGCAATGCTAGGATTGGAAATCAGGTGTGACTAACTTTAAAGCCAAAATAAGTATGTGTATGTGTGTGTGTGTGCATGTGTGTGTGAAATGCATTCTTACATTGTTTTCATTGATGAAAGTTAATGGGCCTCTAAGAATGCATCTCAGAGCACACATCACAGCCTAAGCTATAAAAGGCAGAGCAATAGGTAAGTATAGGACTTGAACACATTTAATTTGTAAAGATTTTGGAGACTGGGCTTTCCTGAAAGTATTAAAAATGTTAACCAGATAACAATTCGGAACAATTGTTAAAACCAGATAACAATTGTTCCAGATAACAATTTGGAACAATCCATAAAACACTTTTATTAATATAGATATACAGATCTATATTTTATTAATATAGATATACAGATCTAATGTTATTCATTGGGAAGTCTGAGAATTTAGACAAATTAGTTCTCTCCCATTAGTGACCACATCCTGAAATGCAGTATCTTGTCAGCCCCCATTATCCGCAAATAGATTTAGATTGTGTACCTTCTGCTTTCCTAACTAATTGTTGTAGATCATCATTGCCAGTCCTCCTATTTTTCTAATCTAAAAATATTATGACCCCTGCTATATACAAATCAGACAAACAGAACTTCACAAGATAAGATTCTAATATTGCATGGGAAGTGAATTAGAAAGAAATGAAACTTGGCATTTGAATCTGTAAAATCACATGGAATCCGCTCTTTCTGGACCTGGCTTGAACTAGGCATTTTCTGATTCCCTGGTGCTACGCCATTTGCAATTATCTGGTCCCAAGCAGTTCTGTTTTATCTATCTGTACCTGGATGATCTCGCAGGCACTGGCTATAAGGAAATGGGGAGGAGGTATATTTATAATTTTTCAAAATTACAGTCAACTAACAAGGAAATCCAGATGTGCTCATTATAAGATTTCTGTGAAAGAAAAAGTCAAGTAGATGATGAGTTTTAGCTTCTGTAGTAAATAATATAATCTAATAAAAGAGAAACATGCAAATTGTCCACACCTCTGCTATGCCCAAGCCATGCCCACCAGCCAATCAGAGAAATTATATGCAAATTAACCCAACCAGGATGGCGGCCAGCAGCCACAGAGATGGAGCAAGCAGGAGGCTTGGTTGCCCCGGCGATGGAGGAAGCCAAGCTTCCTGCCTGCCCTGGCCGGCTATGGCTTCCGCTCAAGGCAACAAAGTTTCAATTATAGAAGATAAATAAATCCCAGATACCTGTTTCCAGCCAGCCTCCACTGGGAGCCTGGGTGGCTGGGGGCTGTGGCCAGCCTGCAAACAGCCATCAGCCCCTCACCTAGGCTGGCCAGGCACCCTAGCGAGGACCCCCACCCTGAAGGGGCTGTGGCCAGCCTGCAAAAAGCCATCAGCCCCTCACCAAGGCTGGCCAGGCACCCCAGGGGGGACCTTCACCCTGAAGGGGCTGTGGAGAGTCTGTTAACAGCCATCAGTCCCTCATCCAGGCTGGCCAGGCACCCCAACCCTGATCCGGGACACCCTTTAGGGCAAAGCAGCTGACCCCCACTCATGCACCAGGCCTCTATCCTATATAATAAATGGGTAATATGGAAATTGACCCTAACAGCAGAACAACTGAGAATGACTGGTCACTATGACACACACTGACCACCAGGGGACAGACGCTCAATGCAGGAGCTGCCCCCTGGTGGTCAGTGTGCTCCCACAGGGGGAGCTCTGCTCAGCCACAAGCCAGTCTGATGGCTGC